ATCTGTTATAAATATATGTATATGGACATTACTAATCGATAATTGGGCCTGAAGTCTATTAGTTAGGGAAATTAGGTTTTAGGGCTTCTCACTTGTAAACCCTATAAAAGGGTGATATACGATGAATAAAGATAGAGACTTTTCTGCTCTTCTGTCTCTTGTTCTCTCGCTTGTTCTATTTACTTTGTTTGGTGTGGATTGATGAATGCTTGAGGATTTCAATTTACAACACGTTATCAGCACGATGCTCTAACCAACTGAGTGACCTATTTGTAAATATATAGATGTACCACAAAGTAAGCAAATTCCCTAGGGAATGATTGACTCCTTAATGCTTGAAGCATAAGGTGATATAATTAATATGATGTATGAAAGTCCGCGGAAAATGTATATTCAAAAATTAACACTCATTTATAATAAAATCCTGAAGAATTGATCCAGTACATCTTGCACGTGCATCAAACCATTATAGTACTGGAATTGCGGAACGACCAAAATTAGATTTTACGGGAAATGATTATAAATATGGCTATCAAATGGTTGAGAGAAAAATATAAATTGAATATCAGTTGTCGACAACATACTTGCCTATGTGATTTCTTAACTATCTCAAATAATGATCCGGATCAAAAGAATAGAAGTGCTAGAAGCGCTTAAGTTGATTGAGATAGAAAGAAAAATTGAGGGAGAGCTTTCACTCGCTACACGATATATCCCAGGAGGATAACATTTCCCAGAAGGATAATGAATATTTATATGAAACATGTGATGTGGTGGTATGATGTAAATATAGCGAGATTATGCTCATGGGTTTATGCAGAGACCCAAATATTTATAAGTTCTCTCATTACCAATAATTCCGCAAGTTAATATTTATGGCAACATCATTAACATGACTATCGAGTCATATGTGAAAAGTCCTGGATGGGCTCGAGTGCCCGAGATGAACGATAATTAAATAATAATTAGTTTAATTATTTGAAGTTGTTGGTAAGATGTGGTACAACCAACTAAATTCTTCCCGAAGAAGTAAAGTATGTTATTCAAGGTAGAACCTTGTGTATAATGATAATATACAAAATGATCATCTCGGTCAAATAGATTATGTGGTGACCACTATGTAAAAGCTTAAATAAGTTAGCTCATGCTTATAGACGGAGTTAGAATGAAACTCTTGGTTAAATACCAAAGAGTATTATCTCGACTTGTAGATCGAGCATCTCCTAGAAGGAGTATTTATACCCAACCAATCTACTTGAATCTCTTTTAGTGATGTAAAATTATAACACCAATGAGTGTCAAATATTTGGAATTTGACAAAGATCCAAAGAAACAAATGAGGATATTATAGGACCTGAAGTTCCAATGGACTTGAAGTCCACAAACGACCTGAAGTTTATTTACTAAGCGCAATTGTGCTTAACTTTTATCACGCAAAACTGCATCAGGCCTAATACTACATTTGTGATGAATTTGCTAGCAACATTTACTATTTCTCTTCTTAAAGAGATCGTGATAAACTGAGAATATCCTATTATTCTTTCATGTATGTTGAGTTATCTTTGGACTTGATATATGATATTGGTGGATAAAGACATCAAGTCTATAATTGATTTCCGAAGTACTGGGTCCTCGATTGGTTATAGACCTCTTAAATGGTATTAACTCTTTACCATTGGTTATTTAAATTTTCCCATATTTATCTTGAAGATAACTCAGTTTGTGTTACACAAATAAATTATGGAAATACATTTGATGATATTTTTGAATCCATATTAACTCCGGAAGAGCAACCAATGACGATTTTATGTAGATACTCTTACCTTGAGGGGGAGCAACAAACATTTATAAATGTAACTTGAAAGGCTCTTGCCTTCAGAGGGAGCGATAAATAAATCCTGAAGATCGAGCCCGGAAGGCTAATTGTAATTCTGAAAATTAGGCCCTGTTGGCCGGTGCTGTACTCTTTTTCCCTTAGCTAAGTTTTTTTCCATTGGGTTTTACTTAGTAAGGTTTTTAACGAGGCAGCAAGTGTAACACATAAATATGCATATGTCATGTACTCTTTTCCTCGACTATTTTTTCCCACTGGGGTTTGTAGCGAGGTTTTTAACGAGACATGGACATGATGTAGTAATGTCCAAGGGGGAGTGTTATAAATATATGTATATGGACATTACTAATCGATAATTGGGCCTGAAGTCCATTAGTTAGGGAAATTAGGTTTTAGGGCTTCTCACTTGTAAACCCTATAAAAGGGTGATATACGATGAATAAAGAGAGAGACTTTTCTGCTCTTCTGTCTCTTGTTCTCTCGCTTGTTCTCTTTACTTTGTTTGGTGTGGATTGATGAATGCTTGAGGATTTCAATTTATAACAGAATCTATATTTATCGCACTTGTTATTTCATATAAATGTTTGTTTGGATAGTTCTTGTATGCGTGAGAACCCTAGTCTAAGTGTCCCGACGGTAGTGCCTTTTGACGAATGCATGATCAGTGGAGGTCACCTGCCCGTTGCATCCGGGAGGTGGACGCCCGAATCCGTGTAGAGTGAAAGGGAAAACTGGACGCCCGAATCCGTGTAGAGCGGAGGGGTAAACCAACTCCACTGTCTCATGGATAAGATCCTATGCCCGTTGCATCCGGGGTGGGAGTGTTTCCAGTTACATCCTTGCCGATGTTTGGTTGGGAGGTTTGTTGTATGTACATAGAAGGTTTGCGATAGGGCGAGATAGATCTGGATTCTATGCATACATTATTTATGGTTGTGAATCTTTATGCGAGATATACTGTGCTGTAATGGTGAGTATGATGGTGATACTCACCCCCATTATTTTTCTGTCCTCTTGTTCCTCTTCCTATCTTTAGGTTGAGCATGGTTGGTGGCGGCGGCAGCGAGAGACGATCGAGTGGTGGTCATTGGAATATTGTGTCTTTGCTTCTGCTTTTATTATCTTGTTGAAATACTTGTTTTTATTTTGAGTAATTATGCTTCCGCTTTGGCTTTATGAACATGTTGGATGAACCGTTGAATCATGTTGAACTATCTGGTTGGTTTCGTGACTTATGAATAATGTGGTTGGTTTATTTTTAGAACTGATAGTTATGCATGTATAGGTTCAATTTATTAGTTCGTAAATGTTTATTTGTTATCGTAGTTAAGTAGCACCTGTTAAATATTAGAGTTTTATTTGGAATTTTGCGAAAAATTAACTCTGATTTTTATAAAGAAATTCGGTAAATCTTTTAAAATAAAACGGGGCGTTACAATTTCGGTCCGGTTCAGTACGGAAAAATTCGTTTTTTTGCCCACCCCTACCCTAAACAGAGGTGAAGCACCATATTGGAGAGGATCAAAGACCTGCCGGTATTAGCAACGCCGATAGTACTTCGTTCAGCAGCCATCCTTAAGGGAATCTATTTTAAGATTGTAGGGAACTTTATTGAGAAATTAAAAAATAAGATTGCTATAATATATAATACCGAGGTCTGTGAGAACACAGTGTCCTTAAAACAGATTCGCCCCGTATGAGCGTCTGTTTCCCAGGATACAACGACAAAACTGAATAAAATTCGGCGAACTGGAATTATGCCTGGACCAACACACTTAAAGAAAAATGGGGAAAGAGACTTTAACAATTGTTTTGTTTTCTTCTTTTTCTTGTCTTTATCAAAAGAAGATAAGCCTTCTTATATAGGCTTAACATAGCCACATTAATCAATACTTCATTTAGTACAAAATTTAATAAAGTGAAGTTAAAGATTCTTGTAACATTAATAAAACTAAGTTACAAGTTCTTTTTTCTTAAATGTGAAGACACGGTTTTAAAAGTGATAAGTTACAATTTTCATTCAATAAGTTTTTCCAACAAATACAACAACAAACACACTCACAACAACTACACAAAATAACTGCGTAAGTGGAGAATAAACGCTCTCAAATGGGAGAATAAACACGCTCCCAATAGGAAAAACACAACAACTCAACAAAAAACACACAAAAAAACACAACAAAGGAAAAAAAAAATCTAATAGTTAGAATTAGGCCATCCCCACCAGTTGGAGAGCCACTCTCACCCTTCAAGACTCGACCAGAACCCAAGACAACCAACCAAGAACATAAACATGACCTCGGCCCAAGACTCAGATTTAGAAACTCCTAAGACGACTACCTAGACCCAGACCGAAGGATCCAACTCCCTCTCAAAAAGGTCAACACTGGGACTACTCCTGGAGACCCGTATCGAACTGCTCCCAACACAAGCCGACAGTCGCAAGCCAACGCAAACAGAGAAGGCACACGCCCGACCGAAGGAACCCCATTCTCAACATTAGGGAAAAGCAAGGTACTTGCCTCAGCCCTGTCGTCGCGAGACAACAAACGGCACCCACCGCGATGAAATCACCGGCGTGCCGTCAGATCCCCGCGAGAACCCTGCCATGGCCACCCTAAACAGAGGGGAAGCGCCATGTCGGAGAGGATCAAAGACCTGTCGGGAAAATCGCCGTCGGAAGGCGAAGGTAGCGGAGCTGTCTACGAAGGAGAGGCGCATGGAGAAGAAAGAACATACAAGGAGGGTTTACGGTTTAATTTGGAAATTTTCGACCTACAGGAGAGAGATTCAACAGATCTTTTATTCGCTAAAAAAAGTTTTAGAAAAAAAAAAATTAAGTTGGAGTATTGAATCTTGAGCTAATTTTTTTTTTAGAAAAAAAGTTTTTGACTTAAATATTTAAAATTTGCGTAGGAATTACTAAAAATAAATGAAAGTTTTATAATTAACTCTATGATAAATTATGGAATTATATTGCAATCTTTGGTATTTCGTGATGCCTCCACCACAGGCCCGGTGGCAAATTCGTGATTAACTGGTGAATGACAGCTAATTTCTTAAATCACATGGGAGATATTTAGGTCGGGCCCCGCCAACAACAGTCAAAAGGAAAAAAATATATAATATATGTATACAAAGATATATGTATTTTCTATTCTACTATATGCACACCAAACCGAATTTACTGAGAGATAGAGAGATAGAGAGAGAGATGGGGATGGAAGCAAGCGAAGACGAAGAGCAACCGGGTCACCTGCTCCGCAAGCGGCTCAAATGCAGCGATGAAGCGTACGACATGGACCAGGACATCGAGCCGGATGTGGCTTCACGTGCGGCGGACCGACTCTTCTACTCTCCGACGGCGCTGCTGACGGCGATCGTCGTGTCGGATGCGTTGGAGCCCGATTTTCCTATCATCTACGTCAACACCGTCTTCGAATTGGCCACCGGATTTCGCGCTGATGAGGTCCTTGGTCGCAACTGGTAAAAAGTAAAAGCTTATTACTGTTTTCGTATACACGTTTGTCTATGTGTGTGTTTGTGAATATTCCGGTAACTATTTCTAGATTTCTATCTATTACCTGGATCCGATTGCTTTAGATTTCCTTAATTTCTGGGGGAATTGAGAAGAGATTGAATTTTATTAGGCAAAATTAAAATTCTGAATTTTTGATCGCGTTCTAAATTCGGTAAAGAAAGGGGGGTGGGGGAAGAGCGCATTTTTATGGAAATCTTGGAATTCATAATAATAATGTATCAAAATTGTATTTCGCTCCAACTAATAAACTTGGGTAACCTACTACCTATGTGATGTGTTGAGTTTGTGAAATGAGAGAAAACACTGACGTTTGTTAGGCAAAATTAAATTTGTGAATTGCATTCAGCCGGTTCCTGCAATTCAGAGACCCGCGCGCGAAGCGGCGGCACCCACTGGTGGATCCCGTGGTAGTCTCAGAGATCCGGAGGTGCCTCGAAGAAGGCTTGGAATTTCAAGGGAAGCTTCTCAACTTCCGCAAAGACGGCACCCCTTTACTCAACTCCCTACGCCTCACCCCAATCCACGGAGACGACGGCAGCGTGACCCACGTGATCGGCATCCAAGTCTTCTCCGAAGCCAAACTCGACCTCAACAACATATCCTACCCCGTCTTCACCCCCCACCACCAACACCCGTGCGGCATCCTCCAGCTGTCCGACGAGGTCATCGCCCACAACATCCTCTCGCGCCTCACTCCCCGCGACGTGGCCTCCGTCGGCTCCGTCTGCCGCCGCATCCGCCAGCTCACCAAAAACGAGCACGTCCGCAAGATCGTGTGTCAGAACGCGTGGGGCCGCGACGTCACGGGCACGCTCGAGCTGCACATGGCCAAGCGCCCCAACAACCCCGGGTGGGGCCGCCTCGCGCGCGAGCTCACCACCTTAGAGGCCGTGCGCTGGCGCAAGCTCACCGTCGGGGGCTCCGTCGAGCCGTCCCGCTGCAACTTCAGCGCGTGCGCCGCGGGGAACCGGCTCGTCCTGTTCGGGGGCGAGGGCGTCAACATGCAGCCGATGGACGACACGTTCGTCCTCAACCTCGACTCCGCGGCCCCCGAGTGGCGCCGCGTGAGCGTGGACTCGTCCCCTCCCGGGCGCTGGGGCCACACGCTCTCGTGCCTCAACGGCTCGTGGCTCGTCGTGTTCGGCGGGTGCGGGCAGCAAGGGCTGCTCAATGACGTGTTTGTGCTCGACCTCGACGCCAAGCGGCCGACATGGCGGGAGGTCCCGGGGGGAGGCGGCCGGCCGCCGCCGCGCTCGTGGCACAGCTCGTGCACGCTCGAGGGGTCGAAGCTGGTGGTTTCGGGTGGGTGCACCGACGGGGGGTCGCTCCTGAGCGACACATTCCTGCTCGACCTGAACGTGGAGAGGCCGGCGTGGAGGGAGATACCGACGGCGTGGGCGCCGCCGTCGAGGCTGGGG